TATGAACTGAGGGATAAAACTAAAAGATTAACATAAATGTAAATGTACAGTCTTCATGCTGTCGTTGGGGTGTGCACAACCAACTTCAGCGTGTTACTCAATTGAAATAAAAAAATAAAGAAAAGAGTCAAACATAACCTAGAAAGCAAAAAATTAAAAAAAATCTTAGTAAAAAAGCATCAATATTTCATCATCACGTGAAATTTTGAATATCATCAATGGATTTCTATAAATTTAAGTTAACAGCACGTTACTCAATTTAACGTAAACAATTTCATCACCAATGAGTTAAACATAACCTAGAAAGCAAAAAAATTAAAAAATTTAGTAAAAAAGCATCATTATTTCATCATCACGTGAAATTATGAATATCAGCAATGAATTTCTATATAGTTACTGGATTATGGATCTAAATTTAGGTTAAAAGGTCCAATCCATATCAAATACAAACAAAAAAAAAATAAATAAATAAATAAATGTAAATGTATCTAAATGTAAATACGTGGAACATGAGTAAATTTTATGTAAAAGCATATTTAATCCATGGTTAGCTAACGAAATAAAGAATGAAGAAAAATGATGTTAAAAGAAAGAGGTTGTAGAAGGGTTTCGCTGTGTTCAATAAAATAAAGAAAAAAAATCTCTTTAATTACTTGGATCTGATAAGTATATTTAAAATTGGAAATGTATTGAGTTTATTTCTTGTTTTTTATTCCTTATAAAATAAATAGAGCACCAATTAGAATGTTGAATGGTACAATATAAAAAAGATTTAAATTAATAAAATAAGTAATAGTAACATTAACTAAGGAAATGTTTTGTCGTATGGAAAAAGAGCGCAGAGAAAACCTGGAACAACTCTGTACGATACAAAGAGGCAATAATTAATTTCTTACAAAAAGAATATAATCGGCATCACTTAATATATCGGGTGCAATACAAGCTCGATGTCATTGCTCCAGCTCTAAAAATTGACGCAGACACTTCAAACATGACGTAAGAGTCTTATCGTATGGCTTCAGCCCAAGTTAGAGAAATAAGCGCAATAGCACAGCACACCTAAAGAGCAGTTAATGTACGTAAACTTTAAAAACCGGACAAATTTCTTCTCATTTCTACATAATCTGCTAATTCCCTTTCATCCTTAGAATATCGTACGAGATAGCATCTAACCGTAAACCGGATATTTTATCATCTCTCGTGAAACCCAATTTGACTAATATAAGGAATAATTCGCCGCCATACGCACTACAGCGCCCAACAGTGTCAATAGTAATGTACAAATTCTCAATTACCAACTATAAAATATAGCAGCAACGAGTGATAGCAACAGCTGGGATCAAAATAAGTGGTACAGTGCGAACCCTGTAGTTTTGAATCACCAGTTATCACTATCTATATGTATTAAGAATCACCAACAACGAAGTACAACGCCAGAACAACAGCCTAATAATATGCATAATAATAATACCAAACCTTATAGCTAACGATAAGCACAAAACGGTAACACGTGTGTTTCTAAAGAATCCATCGTAGATTACACATATCCGATGAGTTACATTACAAAAACCACATAGCCGAATAGCTTGACGACAATGTCAAAACCACTTACACCGCAAGCCTCTAGCAGCATTATTAGCAGCCAAATAAATCAAGGCGATGAATAGTTTAATTGATTTGAGTAATCAGGATATTTTAAAATTTCTAAAATAGAGCAGTAAAAATTAAAAAATTAATCCTAGACGAAAACAGAAAAAGTGATATGATCGTTTTTCTTTTTTTGTTTTATTTGTTGTGCGTATGTGCGTATGATTTGTCGAGTATATTAAAAACGACAACAAAAGTATGAAGCTTTATGGAAATTACTGATCTAAAAATGGTTCTTTAATATTGGTTAGAACTTTACGCATTTAGTGCTGCTTTATTGTATGCGGCCGTTAGAGTATCTTTTTCACATGCTTAACAGAATTCTATAAAAACTCTGCCTCTACATGTTACTTAGGTCTTACGATAATAATGTTATCTTCATTCTTATATCCAGAATTAATAGCACCACAATATTTGGTGACATTTCTTTATCAAGAGAACAAACACCCCCAAGCCTACTTAACATTTTAGGTACAAATATACGGAATGTACGTTGCGTTGTAGAGATCCTTTGGATGTAGGTAGCCAAGACGTCATTTTTAGAAGGATAATGGTCTGCAAATAGGAACAGAGCTCAACGTTTATGTTCGTGCGATAGTTTTAACAAATTGTAATCAATTTACTCAAAATTATTAACGTAAACGGGTAAAAATCTCAACCTTAGCTATCTTTCCATATTAACTCCTTACTTGTTTATCCTTAGTATGGAATCAAAGATTTTACTTCAGCTCTCGTATCAACGCGGGCTGACGATTGTATGCCTTCAAAAATTAAAGAACGAATTTCGCCACCTTAGAACGGCTGAGGTACCTACGAAGATACGGAGGGCAATTGTCAGTGTCAGTGGAACCGAAAGCCGATTTCAAAAAGTTCATACAATTGGATCGCTTTGCTTTACATTATGGCGCGAAACTTCTATCGACCATCAAAGAAAATTGTGAGAGAGTGTTTGTAGTCGTTTATTAGCTGTCGGATGACCCCATACA